TTGCATAATCAAAAAACACAAATGCTTTCATTTTCATTCTACTTTCTCTATTTTTTTTTCTTTTGAGAAAAAAATGTTTGGACTGTACAGTTACAATCCTCTTGATAACTTAGAGGCTGTGTGTATAGAATATTAACTGATTTGTCCTATGGAAAAAATTTCTCACTTATGCCCAGTTATTTAATCACTTAGCGTATTCCTTTTACTCCTGACCTTTTTACAATGGTAAACACTTACAATATGTTGGTTATCACAGTTAATAGATTACACGATCATCAGAGTCTAATGGTTAATTGGTTGATATTTTTAGGATATAATTACTGGACAGAGTAGGAGCCGAACCGTAGGATAAAGTACTTGCGAGTCAGTAGCTAATAATTTACGAAATTAGTTGCTAATTAACAAATAGACTCTGATAATCGTATTAACCATGAAAAAGATCAATTTATGGTCGCCACTACCTTGTCATAATATTTCATGAATATTGTAAAAACAAACATACGCAATGTTCATTAAAAGATGTTGAAGTAAGGGTCATTTTAGCAGTTTATCAAGATTAATCACTGTTTAAATCTAATTTATTGTATTATCTCAAAAGATTCATAGCTAAAAAGGCGATCGAGTGAAACAGATTACTGTAGTCCCGAAATACAAATAGTTATAACAACCAGCAACAGAGGACAACAAAGATTTTTTAACACACTACAACAGAAAGGTAACACAGATACAAAGCATTTAGCCTTAAGTTGTTTATTATTATCATTATTATTATTAAACTTTTAAGCATATATTAAAAGAACAGTGTTATTTTGAACTTCATTTATAACAGAATATTTATAGTTGCTAGGAAGTAAAAATAGCGGTATTTTTTGAAGGTTGGTTTTGCAAAATTTTGTAAAATAAATATAAATTAACCGACCTTGGACAACCAGTCTTCTTCACATCGGCTGTAAAATCGATACCGATTCGTATATATAAGATAAATCTAAAATGCAGTTGTTTAGAAACCATTTGTAATGCTCTGTAAATTTAAGTGAAAGACAAAGTTTTCAGTTATCTGAGTATGAAAGGATTGACCACCATTACCTCCATTTCGAAACATGTAGAAAATATATGAATGTTGATTCTTTTGTCATTTTTAGTACAAAAACGCATGAAACAAGAAACACTGAAACTTTTATAAATGCATTTTAAGTAAAGAACAAGATTTTCAGCAATCTGAACGTGGAAGAATTTGTCTGCATTACCTATCTTTTGAAACATGTTGATTCTTTTGTTCTTTTTTTTTAGCACATGCTCATGTGCAATAAACGCACTGTAACTCTTATGAATAAATAAATTAGGAGTAGCAGAAAATAAGCTGTGATTAGAAATTAAATTAATATATACAAAAACAATAAGTCATTTTAAAAACAATAAATTACATTTTTTTTTTTTATTAATTTTGTATATTTTTATATATTCTATTCTATTTATACGTTTTTCAATATCACTGAAATCAGAATTTACATTTATATATGTAAACTAAAATACTTTTTGTTTTCAAATTCGGTTTTATGAATTTCAAATTTAAAAGATAAAATAATTGGTCAAACAGATTCTTTTGATAACCTTTTTTTGTCCCCTTACCCTAGAAATAACACATACATGAAGAATGAATTGACAAACCTTAAATTTAACCGTATTTTTACTTTTTGAAAAATTTCCAACTACCAAACTACTAAAATATGTTTCAAAATTTTCTTTACGTTAAGTTCAAAAGAAACATCAATTTGCCCAATTTTGTTCCATCAGTGTTTTAGGTTAACCATCATCTGCCAAATAATTTCACGTAAAACTTCTAAACAAATGCAATCAATCATTGCAATATATATATCACCAGTTTGCAAAGGTTTACAAAGGTTTCCGTCTTTTATAAGTATTCTGCAGTAATTTCACCAGAGAAATATCATCAAAATTATTCATTTGTTAATTTTTATCTTTAAATAACTGACGTTTCCCGATGGAACAACGATAAGTATACGGACTTACAACGTTAAAATCCGGGGTTCGATTTCAATGGCAGACGCAGGAGATAGTTAAATGTGGCTTGGTTCTAAAACAATAAATGCTGAAAGTGAAAAAAAAATAATATTTTTTTGTTTTTAAAGTTTTAAAAAAGCGATAATTTAACCATCTCCAGCAATATATTTTATTATACATGTCTAAAGCTATTTTAGGTTTTTATTTTATTTTATTTTTTTGCTATGTTAATTTCAAAATTACTCCAGTACAATTTGCCTAACCGTTTCTCATTCTAACTGAGTTATAATGAAAATTAAATCTAATTTTCAAAAATATGTTTTTATTCGCCGATTTTTATTCCATAAAACATACTACAATTTTTAAATAAGGCGAATAACTGTAAAAATTGGGCAAAGCACGAGATAAATTTTAACCGAAATCAGTTTTTTTCTAATTTAGGTCTCTTTACTTGCTTTCTTTAAACATGGCTTAACCTGAAACAACACATTAAATATGACCTTTTTTAGGTTTGTGATAGATATAACTGTAACTGCAATATTATCATTAGTTGGGAACTCAAAAAAAAAATACTGCAAGTGGCTAATTTTATGGTTTTGTTTTCTCGACGGCAATATGTTGTTTGTTTTGAATTCGCTGTATGATTGTTAGTCTTAAGATTCAGAAAATTTCTTACTTAAAAAATAGAGCTTACAATGAAACTTATTAAATCTTGTTGATGAATATTCACTTTCTTGGTTTACTAATATATATTTATTAATATAATATTATTATCACTTTCTGTAATCCCGAGTCAATAAATTTATTTGAACAGCTTACTTACCATTTAAGAGGCCATAATATTAACGAAGAGACAAGTAAAGTATTAGCTGTAAACTGCAGTTAGATTCATACAGATGGTTGATTTCGTTATATTACAACAATTTTGAATATGTAAACCAGCAAGTCACGTTTAAACCATAGCGGATATAAATTAGAAATACATTTTGACATTGTTTCACATTTCGTAGGTTGTGTGATGCCACCGAAAATTTTCACTTTGAAAAAGTTGCGTAACGACCCTTTTTGATGCAAATTATTCATACATTCAGATTATAAAAACGTGGTCAAAGCAAGGATTTATTATTTCCAAGACGGGCTATCCTTTGTACAAAGTGGCTGTGGACAACAAAGGAATACGAATAAACATGAAGTACCAGGACCATCCAGAAAGGGGCCAACAAGTCTTACTCTAGCCGTGGTAAACAAAGTGCTGGATCTTGTAACAGGTGCGGATTCACGAGCACAATGTTCAGTAGCAAAAGACGTCTATATGTCCCAGCAACAGTACGCAACGTCAGAACTGCTGAGAGTCATCATGGGCCCCAGAAAGAATGTGAGCCTTTTCCCCTTCCAAATAGTTTTTCTTTAATGATGCCGCGTACACGTTTAAGTAATTCAAAACGTGATTAATGATTGCTTAAACATTTCCCATTGATTTGATACATCTGCATACATTTTTTTGCCACTCTCATGGGCCTTCTGGTGGGCAGTGAGGCCAAAGAAATATCCTCAGTGAGCGTGCGCAACATAATCAAGAAGGATCTCCGTCTATAAACAAGGCAAACAGTTACATCTGTTACATCTCCCATTCAACCGCCACATACCTTAAGTGTTTAGTTAATGGAACGTAAATTCAATCTCTTCCATACAAAGACATATCGGTCAAGTCGCTGGATGCAGTGTCTATAGATTTCTGTACGATAAGATTGTTTAAAGTTTAAACTGACGCTGGAAAACAGTCGTCTTCGCACACTAAGTGGATTTTAGAATGTGAGTATGGAGAAATGGTGTATCTTGGACAGGTCAACCTTACGATGGAGTCTTTTGCAATAAAACTAAGCTGGAAAGCTATTGTCAAGGTGCACAGTTTTCAGATGGAGAATGATCAGAGGTAGAAACATGGACTTGCTTTTTCTTTTTGAACTTCGCGCAAAGATACTCAGGAGTTATCTGCGCTAGCCGTCCCTAATTTCAAAGTGATAGGCTAGAAGAAGGAAGCTAGTCAACATCATTCACCACCAAGTTTAGAGTTATTCTTTACTAACGAAATATTGAATTGACTGTCACATTATAACACCCTCATAGCTGAAAGGACGAGTATTTTCGGTTAGAAGAGTCAAACCTGCGACCCGCATATCACGAGTTAAGCGCTCTAACCACCAGGCCATGCCAGGCCCAACATGGACAATAAATAATGAAGAAGCTTCAAAATATGTTTGATACTACGTGCTGGAGTTCTATATTAGGTGAATATTTTGAATATATTTCAAAATTACATCAGATTGTAATAATCAAAATAATTAATATTATTTTCCCACGAGTCTGTATTCAAACATCTTCTTAAAGCAAAATAATATACTGATTTTATTACAATAATAATGTTATAATGGACTGATACCGCCTATATTAACCAGCGTTTCGTGTGTGTGTTTCATTAGTAACTAATATTCTCTAGCACACATCGGTAAAACTTTATAAACAATGTAAATACAATCATGACCATGAGTCGTGTGTGTGTGTGTGTGTGTGTGTGTTTTAAATCTAGTGTCTGCATTTTCAGAAAACTTTATCTTAAAAATTCGGTGATAAAATCTTTCTCTGTCAATCAGATTCTTGACCTATAGTTTTTAAACCTTTTATTTAGAGCAATAAAGTTACATAAGGTAGCGTTTACTATGCCATTACTATCTTTAAAATTAATACTCTGTTTTTCATCTATGTTCTAACGTGAAACGTACATCTTTATTCCCTCTTATTCTGATATTATCTCAGTTTAATAAAGTAACTGTACGTTCTTCCAATGTTACGTAAGCCGACAGTGTGACAATTAATTCTAGGTGTCGGTACACACTGGCACAAGATCTCTTGATAAATCACACATCCGGGAATTTAATCTACTAAACTTAAACCTGGCCTTCTTCTCACCGCACAATAAGATGATGAAAATATTCTTATTCTGATAAATGGCTCTATTTAAGACAAAAAATACCCTTTCATTAATCATTCACTTTATAAATAGGGTTGAAATAGGTTAGTGTTTTTGTTATAAACGAATTCGGTTATAGAAGAAGCGTATTAATATATTTTCTCCAATTAGTTTTTAAGAAAATATATTTGTAATTAATCTGTGGAAAGTACTAGCATTTAAAAATATTTAAGCACAAAGGTGGTGCTTTATTTTTAATTCAATACGTTCACTAATTTTGTGTTTGTCCAAGAAAATATTTTTATATAGTAGTTTTGCTGTTTTTAACCTCATTTTAGCTTTCAAAGCACCAGAATAATATCATGTCTTGTTCTAGCGTTGATTATTAAATAAATATCAGATTTCACATTTCAATGTATTCATAATAATAATTATTTTCTTATTTATGCCATAGCCATGGATTCCAAAGTAATACTTCTAGTTGCCTTGGTGATCGTGCCAGCTGTATCAGCAAGTAAGTTGAGTTATTTGTCATGTCACTAAATAGTTGGCTTGTAATGGGCAATTCAGATTCTCTTATTTTACTTGCAATCAACCATGTTTAAAAGTCGCCGGCCAAAATTGGCAACTGTATTGTACTGCAAGGTGCACATTATAAAAAAATATTATTATTTTTACAAGCTCAAGTAATCAAATGAATATATGTAGTTTACTACAGTTTTGTTGTTTGTAAATTCAAATATTCAATGATGGTTTTTCACATTTTACAGTTTACTTTGGTAAACATCTCCCTTCTATTTTCATTACCTATTTTGAAATTTTGTATCGTTTGTAACTGAATTTCTACGATATCTCCTATATATTGGCCCGGCATGGCCAGGTGGTTAGGGCGCTCGACTCGCAATCTGAGGGTCGCGGGTTCAAATCCACGTCCCGCCAAACATGCTCGCCCTTTCTGCCGTGGAGGCGTTATAATGTGATGGTCAATCCCACTATTCGTTGGTAAAAGATTAGCCCAAGAGTTGACGATGGGTGGTGATGACTAGCTGCCTTCCCTCTAGTCTTATACTGCTAATTTAGATACGGCTAGCGCAGATATCCCTCGTGTAGCTTTGCGCGAAATTCAAAACAAACAAAACTAACCCTTGGAATCTCTGACCTGGCCGTTCATCCCATGGGTCGCATGAAAAAATACCAAATTAATTTTATATATTTCTAATACTTCTTTTTTTTTTCTCACGCAGAATTTTTATCGGTGGGAAATGCCAACGACTATATTGACAAGGTTATAGAAAATGCTAAGCTCGCTATTGGCTCAGATATTGACCCTTTGCCCTTACCAGAACACACAGTCGGATTTGAAAAAAAAATATTGCTTATAACCTACACAGGAGAAGCCAAGCTGTTCGATGGTTATATTTCTGGCTTATCTAGCTTGCATCGAACAGGTGACTGTACTATTGCCAAAGCAGAAGATCTAGTAAGCATCTTTGCTGACGTAGGTTTTAACAACATAGAAGCCAGTTATAAAGGTGAAGTTAAATTCATGGAACTTGGGCCCACAATCACTGTCACAGCAAAAGTTGAATCCATCAGGATCAAGATGGGAATAGCGGCATCAACCACAGATGAAGATTCTGCCCTTCAGAGTTTCGAGTTAACTGAAATTACTGGCATTGAAGTAAAAATAGGAGGCCTTGGACTTCTAAATTGGATCTTCAATTTACTTAGTAACTTGGTGATCAAAATTCTAAAGAGAAGTATCACCACGGTCATTGAACGACAAATACGAAATGCTATCGCCAGCGAAATCGCCAAAATAAAATTTCCAATTGATATTTGACTAGTGAAAATTTAACTGCAAAGAGCAAAAGCTACTTTTTCCTACAAATCAATCAGTTTTTGTTTGTTTTATTATATGTTCATTTAAATAGACAATGTGGAAAAAATTAATGAACTTTTTTTCTTGACAATATCAGTTAACTTTTATCCCACCTGATATCTTCGCCTAACATTTTTGTAATTTTACTATCAATAAATTGGTGACTTGCCAGTAGTCCTCTGTTTTTCTCTTTCGTCAGTATTTAAACCAACACTCAATGTTGCTACGAATGAGCCGGATGGTGGCCCATTACCTAGTATGCCGATCTGTGGATTTCGAGTTCCCTAGTTCGCGACCCGTTATCGCCAAATTAATCGTGCTGCTCATCCTGGGGTCGTGAGTGCTTTGTGAGAATGATGGTCAACTCCTACTTTTCGATTAGAGTAGCCCAATTTAGTATCGGTAACGCAGAGAAGATAGATTTCTAAGTACGTTTTAAAACATTATTTTATCCTCTAATTTCAGAAATAAGAATATTAAGTGTACTTTTTCAGATACATCACTCTTCATTTCTTATTGATGAAAATTTTAAATTTCACTTTATCTTCTCGAATGTCGAAATTAGTCTTATAAATTAAATTGTTAGTTAAAAGTTTTGTGGATTTAAACCTTTCAGGTTTGTGTACACTCTAGTAAAAACTTTTTGAGATTGTCTTGCATGAATGTGCGTCAAACACATTGATCAGTTAAATACTTACGTAGAGCTATCATAAAATACCTGCGCTCTGTTGTGGGATTCAAAGATCCTCTCATGATTCACAGAAGCACCAATGTACCGATCAGACTTCGCTATTATCCCCAGTTACTTCTACAGCTAACCTAAAGGGGTTCGTACCATTAAAAAATAAATAAATAAACGTTAGGGCACCTGCCCCTGGTACCGCTAACTTGTGAGTGGGGTTATGAACACAGTTTCAAAAATGGCGTTCCCAGGATCTTGAGAAGAGACATGAACACAAATTCCAATGCCAAATTCGAATTCAGCGACTTTCCAAACCCATCCCAGGATCCCAATCCTGCCTGGATGACCGTCCGGGGGGTTTAACCCCCTTTGGCACCTCCTTCGTAAGAAGCTACGCCATTCAGATAAGGACACCTCCGGGTCACCCCGAGTCCTCCTACCAGGTTTGTTGATGCTGTCTCCAAAACTGTGGGAAGAGTTCGTGTACAACTAATTTCTGAAACGTTCAACGTGAATTGATATTGGATTTATCAGACTGCCACATGATTATTTCACATCACTAAAGACTGGCTCTTGCATGTCGTTACCAGTACGTTAGCATTTCGCAAATAAGTTTTGGAACAGCACATGTTTTTATGGAAAACATCTTTGGTTGCAGTTGTCAAGGGCTTTGTTTCAGTCTTAATTAGTAGTTTAATGTCTAAACTGAACTGTTCAAAGACAAAAAATAAATTCCGTAACTCTAATAACGAAAACATTTTGTGAAAAAAGCGTTTTTATTACATACTGATCAAATAAATCTTATAAATGATATTTTGAATTTATAGTAATAAATATTGTAACCTGACTGTAAAAAGTTTCATTTTGACACTCTTTAACACTGATTATTTTACACATACAAATTTTCAGAGTCTAATAAACAATAACTGTTCATAAATTTTGTTGCTAAATTATTACGCAATTTTAAGCCAGTATTTATCAACCTTGCTTTGTAAGTTATTTTCCATTAATTTAGTGTTTATGTTTTAAAGCACATTTAATAATCAGTAAGAACTGTGGTTTTGTCATTCTGCATATGCATGTTTGTTTGTAGTTATGCACAAAGGTACACAATAGGCTATCTGCCCAACACGGGTATCGAAACCCGGTTTCTAGCGTTGTATGTCCGCAGACATACTGCTATGCCACTTGGGGGGGGGGGGCTCTGCATATGCACTCATTGATATACATTTTAGTTTCTTACTCGATGGGGAATACACTGCAGGTTTTGTATATATTAGATAAACTACATATCCTCCAGTATTGTATATTACTGTAGTATTTTATTAACTGGCCGGCCATAGCCTAGTGGATAGTATGCCTGGATTGATGATCCAACGATTCGTAGCTCTCGCTTTCTTGCCATAAAAACGCTCACAGCACTTTATGACCGTGGGTGTTCTATAAGAGTGACAGTCAAATCCCACTATTCAGTCAGATGAGAGTAGCCCAAGAGTAGGTGGTGAGTGCTGCTTTTACTCTAGCCTATCAATTCAAAATTACGAACGGCTATGTGGAAATAGCTTTTGTGTAGCTTTGCGAGAACAAACAACCTAATTAGCTAAATATTGTGTGGTATTGCTTGGACTAGATACGCTATAGTGTTACAGTACAAATATAACGGATGTACACCGTGCAAGATATGCTAGACATAGTGAGATTCTCTGCACCCTTCTCGCTTTATATGTATATATATATATATGTATTTCACTATTGTTTGATCATTCATTTAGGTTTCTTGGTTTTATCGGAAACAAGCATTACGTGATAATTGCTATTTCTACTAGAATGACATATCCTCCCTTAACCCGCTTTATGTCCGTGTGTTGGCTATAACGATTTGCTTCACCTTGCATGTTATGAAATAGATCATCCAATTTCTAACTATAATTGTGGGTAAGATTTGCTAGAAAATGACAAATCATTAGGTTTAAAAAGACAGCAAGCAGCTGTTGATAGGGAAAGAAAAAAGATAGGATTCTATATTTGTTCTTGGTCAAGACTTTAATAACTGTGCTACTACCACAGATATTAGAAGCTGCAAAATTTGGCAAAGTAGAGGAAGCCAAACCCAAATGAGACCAATCAAATGAGTGAACCAGTGGGACAAAAGTGACAGCAGAGGAAGATGAGCTATCAGCTGGCCTTGGTGGATTTTGTAACCTCAAAGAATATTTCTGACTTATTTGTAATCCTTGACTGCACTTTACTTCTATTTGCAAGAGCTGATTAACCTATATATATATATATACTTAACACATTTTATCAGAAAATTATCTTTAACTTGTTATATATTGTATAAAGATTAGTATCTCAATCTAATTTAATCTATACTGAGCGATTTCTAATAAGCGAATTAGAGTTGAAAAGGTTTTTTACCGTGACTTTACAAAACACATAAGGCCGATGCTTTATAACTCTGGTTCCAATGGCACACACGGATGACAATCTTAATCCGAGATGCTAGTCCATCACAAGTTAACCCCAGCTAACAGCTAGATTCCCATCATACAACTGGATATGCTGGAACAAGTGCAGTAAAAGATACAACAGTATGACGCGGGCCAGGTATACGCCTACAACTCCAAAACGTGAACATTTGCCTAATATGTTGAACTTCGTTTTGTAAAACTGGTCATCTTTGACTGACATGTAGTTGACCTTAAACAGTTAGGATTCAGAAATTACTTATGGGATAAATCCGATCATTAGGAAGCCGAGTTAGCCATTGGCATGGTAACATTTTTCTAAGATCCTGTCTCTCTCAACTACTGGAATGTTAGGATCATTAATCGTAGACTCAACAATCCTTAGTTTTACGATTCATAGTAACTTCAACCAATATATCTCTTCAAAACAAAAAAAATAATGGGATATGTCAACAAGTAACCAATACTAAAGACTTAATTAACTGTTCATGTCAATCGATACTCGAATAATATCATTTAGGCATCACTGATTCAAAATACTTTAAAAATATAATAATCAATTTTAAGAAGCGTTTATCATGTCACACAATTTTTCAGAGATTTCACGACTCACAAATGCTTGTTAAAGTACTCAAGACAGACGTTATGCACAATAAAAAATTATTTTCAAACTACTCAAATTTTAACAACGACAGAGCAAATAGGATACTAGTTTGTACTTAAATCATTGAATTTTAAAATATTTTCCATATTTAAAAAAACTAATGAAACACGAGATCAAATTTGAATATACATCTTCACGTGATTACATACCTCAATAAATTACCACGTGGAATCGTTTGTTTGTTTGATGTTAAGCTCAAAGTTACAAAAAGGGCTTTCCGTGTTGTGCCCAACAGGGGTATCCGAACCCCATTTTTAGCGTTATAAGTTCACCAACTTACTGCTGAGCACCACTTGGGATAAAAAATTAAGTGTGAATGTTAAGATGGTTTAATTTAAACCAGTAGTATATATATATAGATAATCTATACTTTAATTATTAAAACAATAAAAATATTCCTCCCTCAAATCATGTAACTCTCGCTGTTTGTGGGATACACTACTTATACTTAGGTTCGAAAAATCAGGCTAACACACAGTAATTACAAAACAGCAAAATCTATATTATATTTTTAAATGGTAACTAGATCTTTATCTGGTAACCTAAAGTTATTGTTGCATTTCATGCCTCTAAGAGTGTAAAATAATGTTTCGAGATGTAATGATCAGTAGAGTTATGTGAAAATGATTTGTTTGTAATGATCAGTAGAGTTATTTAAAAATGATTTGTTTTTGTTTTCTCTCAGTAGTTTTGAAGTTTCATCTCTCATATGATAACATGCTAATGCTTTATTAGTAGAGTTTTAATAATCTAACACCAGCCTTAGAGCACAAATAAGAACTTCTATAATTCAAGCGCTCTCGGAAGGAAGACATTTCTTCATCAGAACCAAACTGGGAGTGATTAAGTTAAGTGTGAGGAAAGGTGGAGTGAAGCCATGGTTATGCAAGGTAGACTACCATGACAACCCCGAAGCAGTTTTTATAGCTTTCAGTGGGATGTTGCAGGCATGACTAGTTTCCATTGTGTAATACGACAAAGATAAATCAGGAAACAAGAATGTTAGATATAAAGAGTTTAGAAGCATGTTATTTTTTAAATAACTTAAAAGAGAAACTATAATGGGTAAATGAGTATTGATAAAGTAACAACAATAAAATATATGGTATGAAAATCAATTAGTGAAGAAATGTTGAGTAGAAAGAACTAAAAAAGTTAAAACATAACCATGGAAATAATCGTAAATAAATGACAAGTATTAAGAAAGATTAGGGGTAAACATAAAGTGCACCGCACAAGAGAAAGAAAAAATGTGTTTGACAGACAGAGAACTAATTAATGGTCGAAGGTCAGTGATTCGAGGATCTCCGCTTATTCCACAAGGATGAACAGTATATAATGTAGCAATTCAATAGGCTTCTTTCATTTCTCTATCAACTTTAGTTCTGAAACCAATTGAAATACTTAGGAGAATCACATTAATAATTGAATGACCGAGTTGGTCGAAATTTATGGTTGTTATAACGCTCTCTAAGGATCTCCGCTTATTCCACAAGGATGAACAGTATATAATGTAGCAATTCAATAGGCTTCTTTCATTTCTCTATCCACTTTAGTTCTGAAACCAATTGAAATACTTAAGAGAATCACATTAATAATTGAATGACCGAATTGGTCGAAATTTATGGTTGTTATAACGCTCTCTAAGGAAGATTGCATTTTATATTCTATATGGGATAAATGGCGTTATGCAAGAAATTTTAAATATTTTTGGTTATATTTGTCTGAAAAATGGCCGATAGTTTTATGAGCTTGCAGGTTAGACAACGAGCGTTATTACACGAATGACATCCTGTGGTGGATTGTAATTCGCTTGTGCATGAACAAAGATATCTTGAAGTCTGCTGTTTCGAAATGAATCAATGGGAACTTCAGAAAAAACATTGTCTTAATTTCTTAACTTCAAACGGAAATATTTAGTTCTCAATCTCCCTTGTATGTGTATCGTGACATCTCTTCATTCTGTCTTGTCAAATTAATACGTTTGATAGGTTATGCAAATTAAATTTGGAAACTGTAAGATGAAAAAAGTATTATTAGTCTTAAAATGAAAATCACCTTGCCCTTCCGATTCTATATGTTCACGAACAATTTTTTAGCAAAATTGCTTAATTAAAAACCCTGAATTTCTTCACAATAAAATTTGAATGTTTACTAAAAACTTGAAAATATTTCTGAGGATACACGTGCCGCATTAAAAGTTGTGGTATGGATACTTTCATGCTTACCTAGTGGTTACAAGATCGTCAAAATGACCGAGCCCATGTCGAGAGAGTTAAGTAATTCAGAACCAGCTGTTCAAATGTAGCGTTTTTCAGAATGAAGCTTCACAGGGCTTTGTTGGCTTTCAATATGGCCCATAAGTATGTTGGCATAACTAGGAACCATCTAGTACCCTCTATGGCACCGTTAATCTGAAAGTAACGTTCCCTTTTTGAATTCATATTTATTTAGAAATAAAACAAGACTAACTAGGTCGATTACTTTTCGAGATCTGGGTTGATTGGAAAGGTTTAGGGCAGTTTTTTAGAATTTCAAATCCTTCATCGTGTGGAACCTTGGAGCTAAGGGTTCTGTTGCCTGTTCATTCTATTTTCATTTATAATACAGACATTATGTCGTTTACTGTTAGTTGGTATCTGATTAAAATAGTTAATATAATCTTAACATTATCAAACTGTACATACACAGTGCAAATATAGTATATATTTTCCTATTAAAGTTAACATATTAATATATTCCTGTTTCCCGACTGCTCAGATTTATTGACACAAATAAACAATGACTCTATTGTTAACAGTCACCAACAATAAGCATAAAACTGTTCTAGAAAACCAAAAAAATGTCGTTTTGTTTGAATGCTCTTAAGTTTTTCTTTTCCATATAAACACAATTCTATATGTGGTTTAAGATAATGCTTTGTCATGTCAATTCATTCAACCCATAAAATTATTGGGTCAGCTTAAAACATCGTGCTTCTATGACTAATAAAAAGACACTCGAAACCATAAATTGTGAAGTAATTATAATTAGCTTAATCAAAATTACATTAAACCATAAAAGAAATTGTCCAAAAAAGGATAAGAATACGAACATTTTATAACTCAGTCTCTACAGTGCATTGAGAAAATTTAATTCGGAAGTATGATCTTTATTTATAATAAATAGGAAACTGTAGATTTTTAATTTTATCAGCAACAACTCGCTTGACAGTCCACTGGATAATGGTCTTTATAATTCCTTTGAAGAATTTCAAGACAAGTGAAGTTAAGATAGTCATGAGCCAGCTAAGTGGTCCCAAGCCATTAAAAGTAACAGTCAGACCTTTCATTTCATCCATATCAAACTTTTCTATGGTTGGAATGCCTCCAGTTGAAGGATCGCTCGAGATATCCATATTGATCGTGACGTACCCAATTTTACCCTCTACGGTAACTGAAGGTCCAAAGTCCATGAAGGTCACGGTGGCGTGATAACGCAGTTCAAGGACTCCCATACCTAAATGGACCTTAACATGCATTGTATTTCCATCTTGGACGTCAATTGTGCAGTCACCATTACGATGAATAGTGGTCAAACCGGACAGAAGTCCATCGTATAGCTTGGCTTCACCACGCCAGGTCACTAACAAAATCTTTTTCTCAAAACCAATGGACTTGTCAGGCAAACTGTATGGCTCAAGATCATGGGACATGCCCATTTTAGTTGCCTCAATCAACTGATCAATAAATTCGTTGGCATTTCCAACATCCATAAAAGCTGTTTTGTCACCTGTTTTGAATTTGTAAAAAAAAAAAAGTTTGAAATTACAATAGTATTCTGATTTATATTAATTTATAAGATTTTGTTTACTCTCTAGAATCACAAATTGGTTTGGAAAATAATCAAATTATCACTAATTTATTGAACAACAATTAACAGGGAGATAAGGGCCTGGCATGGGGTCGTGGCTAGAGCGATCGACTTGCAATATCATTTCAACCATGGGAGCGTTATAGTGTGACGATCAATTCCACTATGCGATTAGAGTAGCTCAAGATTTGGCGGTAGATGGTGTTCACTAGATGCTGTCCATCTAGTCTATAACTTCTAAATCAGGGATGGCTAGCGCAAACAGCCCACGAGTAACGTTGGGCGAAAATCAACAAACGAATTAGAGAAACAGAATAATGTACTACATAACATGATTTCGCTCTTACTCTCATTATTTCTACTCGAGACTTTAACATATTTTTATCCCTTTGGTACAGAATGTTCCTTTGTACATGCGCGCCTTTTTTTTTTTTTCATTTTTTTTTTTTTTT